GATTTTGAGGCCACCCTATCCCAGCCATATTATTCACATATCGAGTCCCAACAACAACAGTGTAGGGATGAGCACGACAGTGCATGTGAGCATGAAGGATGGACAATCTTCGGGGATTAGATTGGGAACACAACAAAACACTAACACTCAGGGATTTGGGAATAGTCAGATGCCTGCTAATATCGATGATTTGTTTTTAGATCGAATCAATGAATTGTTAAACGAATTCAATCAATGGCACCAGCGTGACCAAGAAGAACAATAACGTCGTCTATCATTTTATTTTTAGATCATATGTTACTAATTTTATGCTTTATTGTAGTCCATGTATGTTGATATACTTATTCCATGATAATTATATGTTTATCCTTTTGTGTGATATAAGTTAAATGCTGAATGGCGGTTCATGCAGGGAAAGAACATATCAATATTCGCATATTCATTCAAAAACATGAAAATTCTTAATGGAGTACCCTCATTTCTTATTGAATTCCTAAAAAACAATATTTATAATAAATTTTAATAATTTTTTCGGATTTTTTTTAAGCTTTATTCTGATCGATTCACCCGATTCCCTATCCGGATCGTCGATCAGGATCGATTTTTTGGAAGCCGGATCCGGGTCACCGATCGATTTTTTAAACCATTGGTTTAAATTAAAGAAAAGGACGCACTCCCGGAGAGTGTAGTGTTTACTCTTTTCGTTAAAAGACTTATTTGAGAGGATTTTTTTGAGTTTAAAATTTTGAAACCCACTTAATAATCACTAGATTATTTTCAAAAGTTAAAATTTAAAAATTTAGTTTTCTACTTTGATCTCACCCTCTACCACTCTTGACACAAATTTTTTTTAGGTGTAGAAGGTGCCATTAGAAAAGTTATTTATTTATTTGTTGAAATTAATCGATAGGTTGAAGAGGTTATATGCCAAAATTTGGGTTAGTTTTACTCAAGGGGGTAAATGAACAACATATTCTAAGAGAAGAACAATATTTGATAAAGGAGCATATGAATTTAAATCGAAAGAGCCACACGTTCAAAAAAAAAAAATTAAAACGAAAGAACCACGTGAAGGGAAAACGTTGTCATGGTTTTTTTTACACAGGAATTTATACTCCCTCGGGATCATACTCTTCATTTACTCCCTCATGTTAAACTACACCTAGAATTAATTTAGGGAATCCAAATTTTAGACGTAGAACCTCTTCAACCTATAGATTACCCTCAATGAAAAAAATTCCAATTACACTATCTAGACACTTGAAAAAATAATGTCTCAAGATTGAACGTAGACCGTCTAATCTTTAGAGGGTGAGATCTAAGTGTTAGAAAACTCAAATTTCAAATTTTGACTTTTGAAAATAATCATTTAGTGATAATTAGGTAGTTCTAAAAATTTTAACTTGAAAAAAAAAAACCACCCAAAATAGGTATTTTTACGAAGGAGTAAACTTAAATTATACTCCCGTAAGAGTACATCTCCTTTTTTTATCTAACCCCATTGTATTTAAGGTGTATGTGAGATTTATCACATGTCATTTCGTGAAGGGTAACTTAGAAGAAAAAAAAAGAGAAAGATGTACTTCTAATTTTAAGAAAAGTAATATCAAATCATTATCAGAAGACATAAAATGTGTCTCACGTTAAAAGCTCTCGATTCAAATAAACATTAGGGGTGGCAACGGATCAGGTACGGGTTGGGTTTGGCTAGACCCGAACCTGGACCCAAATAGTATTTGGGTCTAAAATTTGGACCCATAATCAGACCTATCAGGTTTCGAATCTGGTCGGATCAATTGCCACTCTATGATTGAGTTTTTTTTTTTTTGGGGTTTTTTTTACCATCAGATATCATATGGCTATAAGCTTCTTTTTTTGGCCATTAAAACTGTAAAAGTTGCCAATAGTTTTGCCAATAAAACTGTAAGTATTGTCAATATTGTTACATTATGAACACCTAATATGTTTCTAAAGGCCACTATATACCCTATGATTATGAATACAGCTAAACCCAAATCCAGAGCCAGATAGTATTGGGATCCATAATTTGGACTTGTATCTAAACGAGCTCGGGTCTAGCCATCGGCTCCGAGTTTGGTCTGGTTCATTACCGCCCCTAATATTAAAAAATCCATCACCTAACCGGGACGCAGAAGACTTCATAAGTTGTAACGAATACCATCGTTGCTAAAGGAAAGCTCGTGCCTGAAACGTCGAGTCCATAGAAGGTGGACCAGTCACAGGACAACCCAAAAGTACGTGCAATGAAACTTCATTGACGTGTAATGAAAATGAAGGCACGTGCAAACGATCGTGTCTTAAGGAGGCGTAGACACGTATAAGTGAACGCTCCTTATCTCTTATTCGCGCTCTCTTCGGAAGAATCAAAAGATGGTCGGTCGAACGCGCTACGTGTCTTTGAACCATTTCAATCCGACACGAGTCCATGCAATTCCCACGTGTCGTCCTCCTTTTCCGACTGCAACTCCGTGTAAACCTTTAAAACCCGGAGCCCAAGAGACAGTGCAGGAAAGAGAGAAGTAAATAAAAGAAGGGATCCATTTGAGAGGAAGAACGAGAGACAGTTAGAGGAGAGCGATAGTAGAAATGGCATCGAGACAGGAGAGAGAAGAAAGAGAAGCAGCAGCAGAAGAGGCGGCAGCACAAAAGGCGTCGTTGGAACTGAGAGAAAGCGCGGCCATGAAAAGGGACGTGGTGGCCTCGAGAGAGGAAGGCACCGAGCCCGCAAAATCCACGGAGACGCACAAGCCTGGTGTGCTGGGTGCCATACAAGAAAGCACCGCCTCCCTCTTAAAGGCGGTGACTGGCAAGGCGCAGGAGGCCTCTGAGAAGGCTCGCGAAACCAAAGACTCGGCTGCCCAAAAAACAATGGAAACCAAGGACTCGGCAGTGGAGAAGGCCCAGGGTGCTAAAGACACGGCCGCCCAGAAGGCTGGTGAGACTAAGGACTGGGCCATGGATAAGGCTCGAGGTGCTAAAGAGTCGGTTGGGGAAAAGGCCGAAGGTATCAAAGATTCGGTGAAGGAAACAAAGGATTCTGCCATGGAGAAGGGACGAGAGACCAAGGACTCAACATTGGAGAGAGCGAGAGAGACCAAGGACTCGGCTATCGAGAAAGCGAGAGAGTTGACTGAGTGGGCTGCTGAGAAAGCGAGAGAGTATAAGGAGTTGGCCGCTGAGAAAGCGCGAGAGACTAAAGACTCGGCCATGGATAAGTCTAGAGGTGCGAAAGATACAACAGCTGAGAAGGCAAAGGAGACAAAGGATTCGGCTGTGACTCGAGCTGGAGAGGCAAATGACTCGGCGGCTGATGCAACGAGGGGAGCGATGGATACGCTGTCTGGCAAGAAAGAGGAGGCCAAGCAGAAGTCCAATGAGTCTAAGGATCCTGCAAAGGTAAGTCTCTCTCTCTAAGGTCTCTCCTGTTCCCCTGTCACTTAAGTGATTCTTGAGTTTCTAGGTCTCCAAATTTGCTAGCATTTGAGAAGAACTCGATCATTCACCATTAATGAGAGGGCCTGATGGCCCTGGGTCGTATGGCAGGACGTATTTGGAGAAACAGAGGAGGCTACTAGGCAGAGGTTGGAAGATATGAAGGTTACTGCAGAGGATGCAGGGGAGCGAGCGAAGCAGAAGGCAGAGGCCAACAAAGAAGCTGGAGCTGAAAGGCACGACTCTTAACCTGTGATGAAATGAATTGAAAGCTCTCTCTCTTCTCCCCTCTTGACGTTGTGGTGCAATTTCTTCTGTTTCAGGGGGGAGAGAGCAAAAGGAATGATCTTGAGCACCCTAGGCAATGTAACTGAGATGATCAAAGAGGAATTCACGTGTCCAAAGGAGGCGGCAGAACGCAAGCAAGCAAGCAAGCAGAGAGGAGAAAGGCTACGGAGATAGAGAAAGGGGCGAAAGAGGAGAGGGCAAGCAAGGGGCGAGAGTGAGGTCCGAGGCGAGGCGAGGCGAGGCGAGGCGAGGCGATGGCAGCCCGCACCGGAATAAAAATAGCCAAGGATTGATCAAGCACGGAAAACCTACGATGATGTGGACACAGACGAGGTGGCGACAGAAGCTCATGGAGAGGAACGGAAAGGGGTTTTTGAGGAGCGTAGTGGATAGAGTGAAGGAGGTGGTAGGGGTAAATTCCGAAGACGACCAATCTCCTCGTGGGAAGATGATGTTGATGTGTGCCTAAGTAGTAAGTAACTAAGTATATAGTTTGAAATTCATTTTCATGTTGTTTTTTAGGGGGTGGGGGAGTTGGATATATTTTCATATTGTTGGTTTTTTTTTTTTTTGGGGTTGGTAGTTTGAGTCATGGATCTATGTTTGTATCCTCAGTGAATTGATTGGAACAGGGAACTTTTAAATCTTGGCGTCCTTTTAGGAAAAGCATATTTGAGGGTATAGGATCTCATTTTGTTGTTTGAATAGGAGAGGGAGAGTCCAGGTAATTTTTAGACGACATCCACATTGAATATAAGCACAAGGTAATTTTCAAATTTTTCGACGGCATCCACGTGGAATATAAGCACAAGGTAATTTTTAGACCACATGGAATATAAGCACTTGCGTCGGCAACGTCAGTCGGTCCAACTCGGAACTCGAAGATCAAACAGGAACGTGGCACTAGCCGGCTGCTTCCGGTGGTCTGATGGGCATCTTAAAAACCGTTTAAAAAACGAGTAAATATCAACAAATAAGAGCAATTAAACAATAATGGGGCACTGGCCAATCTGGTTTTAGCGAGTTCTGGTTGTACTTGCGAAAGGAAAATATATATTGCCGGTCAGGCTAATATAAAAAAAGAAGAAAAAAGATAGTACACAGTAATCTGTATCAGGTTAATTGCCTATCAGGTTAATATAAACAATAAAAAAAAGGTGTACATATTAATCTGTATCAGGTTAATATAAAGAGATGTACGTAGTAATCTGTATCAGGTTAATACAAAGAGATGAACATAGTAATCTGTATCAGGTTAATACAAAGAGATGTATATAGTAATCTGTTATAGTTGGGAAGGTGCATATTGGAATCAGTATAAGAACGGTCGGTATAATATCTTGTATTTTATGTCTTGTATTTTATGGTATTGTATTTTATGTCTTGTATTTTATAGTTAGTTTGGGTATTTTGTCTTGTATTTTATGTTAAAGTTTGTGGTAAGTTTAGGTAGAGTATAGGTGTTTGATATATTTTTATTTTTGTCTTATATTTGTCTATTCAAGGCAAGGTTGTATATTCATAATCTTCAATCGATATAAGGAGTCTCTTCAGATGAACCTGAGATTGTTCACATGGTATAGAGTAAGGTTGTTTATATTTGCCGTGTCTATTTCTCGTATTTGAAGCATTGTCGATTTTTAAAATGGGTCTGTTGCTCATCCAATTGGTGCAGTTTTTGTTGAGTCGTGTTTTTGACTTTTTGATGTTTTTTTGTCGAGTTTTGTTTTGATTATCTGATCTCTCTCTATCGAATTGTATTTCAACTCTTTGATCTATTTCTTTCTCAAGTCGTGTTTCAATTTTTTGATCTGTTTGATTATCTTTCACTTGGAATTCTCTAATTTATTTGATCAGAGAGCAATCTGAGCATGACAATTACGATTACGTTATGCATCTGAAGATTTAGTTCGTTTATGCAATCCCACTTTGATTCTCGTTTATGCAATTCCACGTTGATTTTCTAATCTGTTTTTTCAGAGAGCAACAAATACTGTTTTTATTGGTCACGTATCTAAAGATCTTGCTCTTGCTCTTTTATGCAATTACTGTTCAAATTCCAGCTGATCTCTCTCTTAGTATCTTGAGTTTGAGGGGAGTGGGAAAGGAAAATATATATGGCCCATCAGGTTAATTTAAAAGGTGTATATGATAATTTGTATATTTGAAAAGGTATATATTGTAATCGGTATATATGATAATGGTAGGTACAATATTTTGTATTTTAGAAGGTGCATGTGATAATATGTATACTTGAAAAGGTGTATATTGTAATCGGTATATATGGTATATATGGGAATGATAGATACAATATCTTATATTTTATAATAAGTTTGGGTAGAATATAGATGTTTGTGATTTATTTTTATTTTTATCATATGTACTTTTTTTATTTAAGACAAGTTTGTATGTTCATAATTTTTAATGGATACAATAAGTTTGTTCAAAAAAATAGGAGGTTCTTCATAGTCGGGTATTTTAAAAACCCTTTTTTATTAAAAAAAAGAGTAAATCTCAACAAATAAGGGCAATTCAATGGGGAAGATGGATTCCTACCCGCTTTTTTATATAGATTAGGGAGTTAATTTTTTTTTAAAGGAGTCGGGTGGTGTCAATTGAAGACTACAACCTGATAACTAGATTAGGTATGGGGGTGCACCCTTCCTAATGTTGAGAGCACCTTCCCTTGCCAAAGAATCTACTTCTTGGTTAGCCTCTTTGAACACGTGTGGGGTGTAGACATGCGATAAATCTTTATTCTATCACGACTCGAATCTCATCCATAATCTGAATTTCATCCATAATCGATACAATAGATCAAGTATTGTTGAGGATTGATGTCTTCTATTTTGAAGAAATAGATATCTTAAAGTAGAATAAAAAAGATAACTCTGGAGGGTCAAAGGCTCGAAGGGTTTGAGGGCGGGGAGGAGTGTCCGGCACAAGTAAATTCGGTTGACTTGGCCCCTGCAAGGGTTTGAGGGCGGCAGCTTTTGAGAAAATTTTTGAATATTTATATAAGGGTATTTCAGTATTTTGTATCATTTATTTCGGATTTGATATATATATGTACATGAGTATTTATCCGTATATGGGTATTTTGGTAATTTGTACGAGACTCTATATATTGTAGCGACGTGGGTTCTTTTTAGGGTTTAAGGGAAAAATACTAATTTTTTTTGCAATAGGAGAGAACAGAGAGACGCGAGGAAATGAGAGCTATTGTAACTCTATTCTCCATTGTTAGTAAAGGAGTTTTCATCTCTCGTGAACGTAGGTATGTTGTCGAACCACATATATTCTTGCGTTGAAGTTAGCTATTTTTTTTTTTTGTGTTTGTTTCTTCTTTTTTGTTTTCATGGTATTTCGTTTTTACAAATTGGTATCAGAGTCGGGTTGATTATTCCTCGTTCTGAGGTTTGCGACCACGATGACAAGAAAATGTTCAAGTGTTAAGTATGACATTGAGAGGTTCAATTAAAAGAACAATTTCATTCTTTGACGGCGAAGGATGAACGATCTTCTGATACAACAAGGTCTGGCTAAGGTTTTGTTAGGAAAATCAAAGAAACTATCAAAGATAAATGATGAAAAGTGGCACGAGATGGAGGAAAAGACGGTAAGCGCAATTTGTCTGAATTTGCGTTATGTGCATACAAAATTTGAGAAGTTATTTAGCAAAATTTGAGAAGTTATTTAGCATTTAAATCTGAATATACAAGAAATGTATTCCCATTATGATCTCTAAGAAGCCCTCCCTATATGCATACACCATTTGAGAAGTTATTTAGCATCTAGACCTGAATATGCAAGAAATGTATTCCCATTATGATTTGTAAGAAGCCCTCCTTCTAGGGAGCCTGATCGTTGAAGGAACTGCCATTGACTGATCGAGTGGGTATATCCTTGCTCTACATGTGTTGGCCGATCTTAGAGGCCTCTCCTAAAATGTGAACCAAATCGCATCTTGACACCTCAACACTCCTTTGTAATAACGTCGCAATTATTTGTTTATTTGACCTAATTCCATTGGCATTAAGAACCTGTCCCTGGAAGGTCTTATTCCGCCATTGAATGAATCTATTCGTGTCAACAAGATGTTACCAGATTTATTAACATGGTCTAGCAGGCTCCACGAGGATGGGGACTACTTTCAGAAAAGGAAATTAATATTAAAGAGTAAAGGTTTCTTAAATAAGATGTTTCCTTGTTCTTTTGTGGGAAGATGTCAGCTAAAACTTATAGATGGAGATTGAGGCCCTTTGTTTCTTTAGAAGTGCAATAAAATTGCAGAGGGTTCGTTCAAAAATCTCAAAAAGGTTTGGGGTTTTTTATATATGATTGGGAGCTAGTAGTCTCATTGAAAAGAAGTGGTTCTTTTGAGAATGACAAGGGGAGGAAAGACGAAATGATCCCACATGGGAAACCATAAGTTTTTATGTTTTTCTTGTTTCAAAATCCGTAAGTTATGGTTAATTAGATTTAAGA